CAAAAATTAAAATGCAATAAAAATTTCTCAGAGCCCCATTTTCCTAGCAAACCTCCTATATGATCTTGAGATCTTTTTGTAGTTTAATAATAATTTGGTAAATTATTGGGATTATATAGCAGGTATTGGGTCAGAATTAGCAAGAGTTGCAATACATATTCATTGTATTTGTGTTAATTCAATATCAGTTGAAAGGCTTTGAAGCAGTATGGGTTTTATACAAATAAATGGATTGATTAAAGATACAATATATCTTTATTTTTTTAGTATTATGTAATTAAAATGTTCAATTAATTAATAATCTAATATTTATAGAGTGATAAAGTATTGGCAATAAATTAAATTCAAAGTAATATACTTTATCATCATCAGAAAAAAAGAGCAAAGAATTAGATACTAAAATCTAGCGTTTGCATATAGCTATACTAATTATTGAAGATGATAACTTAAAAAATCCTGAATTAAATTTAACTGAAGATGATTTGCAAGTTAGTGATGATAATATTTAAGATACAGAAAATGGTAATAGAAATAATAATTTGATTTTGGATGAACCTACTGAACCCCATACTGAGAAACAAGAACAAGAGTAGAATGCATTTGTTAAAAAATAGATTAAAGCTATTAATCATGAAAATAGATTTGACTATTCTGATAATAATATTCTTTTAACTGACGAAATGAATGACAATTTTAATTTTGGGAGAAAAAAAATTCATCTTGCCAATGATCTAGCAGCAAAATGATTATTAGCTTTTTTATTTGTTTCTGATTTAGAATCACTAACTTATTTAGAAACAGATCAAATTTATTCAGTACTTTGAAGTTAAAATAAATAAAAATAAATTCGTTTGAATATTATAGATTTTATATATTACATGATCATTATATATATAATTGTTATAACCTCAGTCATATACAGTAAATCCTTTTAGCTAAAATGATTAAATGACTTGTGACTTAGTTATCAAGTCATTTAGGTCATATCCGGTCATGTGCTAATACTAAAATAAGCAGACAAATTTGTCTGTGAAATCCTACAATCTAAAGGATATTTAAAAAATTCAGAACTAAATTTAGTATGCTTATAAAGAAGAAGTGATTATATAAAGTATGATTATATAAAGGGACAACTGTACAGCTAAACTTAATTTAAGTGAAGGTAGTGTTTGATATATTAATACTATTACTTTAACTAAAAAATCATAATAGTAATAGAAAAAGAACAGAAATTATAGAAAATTAGAATTTTATTATTATTTTATTATTATTTTTATTTTTTATATAATTAAATAAATTTTCTATAAAAGGTTATTGATAAGATTTATTAAATAAAAAATTACTAAAAATTAAAAAAGATTATGAACTTACAGACTTATAGATTTATTATAAATAAATTTAAATTCTGTAATGTTATAAATTTGAATAATAGTTGCAAATACTAAAAATAATTTAACTTGACTAATTTTGAACTCTAAGTTATATAAATTTTGTAATTTTATAGAATTTTAATAGTTTTAGTAGTTTGGTTTTAGTAGATTCAGTTAGTTTAATATTTATATTAATTTAAAAGTTTCTATTAAGTTTAATAGTTTTGATAATTTTGATAAGTTATATTAGTTTTAATAAGTTTTGTAATTTTATTAGAATTTTAATTTTAATTTTAGGTTTAGTTTTTAAAATTTCTTAATAATTTCAAATAATAATATTATTAAATTTAGCCATTTTCAATCTGAATATTCCTATTATTATAAACTTTTTTAATATTACTGATATAATATATTCTATGCTTATTTTATTATTAATTACAATTATTTAGTTTGTTATCATTAATAAAATAAAGTATGAATTAGATCAGATAAAACTGAGATTTATCATTCAGGATTATGAAGCATTAGAATTATAAAATTTAGAATTATGACTATTTGAGATTTTGATATTTCAGAATTTAGACTATTAGAATAATATACTGTTAGAATATTGAGTGTTAGAATTTCGTATAGATCCTTTTTACAGTTCATCATAATAGATTAATGGTAAGTTTAATAATTTTTATTTAATTTAATAATAGTTCTATCATATTATTTAATAATTTTTATTTAATTTAATAATAGTTCTATCATATTATTTAATAAGAGATTAATTGATTCAATTATTTTTTTATTAATTTAATTTTATTTATTTATTGATATTTATTTCTTATTAATTTAATTTTATTTATTAAATGATTAATAAATAATATTATTTATTGATTAATGAGTTTTTAATTTAATTAATTAATAAATACTTTAAATTTTAATTTATTTTATTAACAGGTTCTTTAATTTATTTATTTATTAATAGGCTAATTTAATTAATAAAGCTTTTTATTTATTAATTAATGAATTATTTAATTTATTTAATTAATTGATTTTTATTAATTGATTAATGATAAATAGGTTTTTAATTTAATTAATTAATAATACTTGGAATTTTATTTATTTATTAATAGATTATTTAATTTATTTAATTAATTAATTTTTTGGGTTTTATTTATTTTATTAATATACTTATTTAATTTATTTAATTAATGGTTTTTTATTTATTAATTAACATTATTTAATTTATTTAATTAATGAGTTTCTTATTTAATGAATAACAGATTTTATTTAATTAATTAATAAATGCTTTAGTTTTTTAATTTATTTTATTAACGTATTTGCTTAATTTATTTAATTAATGGATTTTTTTTATTGATTAACTGTTAACAGGTTTTAAATTTAGTTAATTAATGAATGCTTTGGATTTTTAATTTATTTTATTAACGAACTTTTTTAATTTATTTATTTAATAGGTTTATTAATGCATTTTTTAAATTAATAATGAATTCCTTTATTTATTTATTAATAGTTTTTTTAATTAATATAATTCTTTTATATATTAATTAATAAAATTAAATTTTATTTAATTTATAAATACTTTGAATTTTTAATTTATTTTATTAATAGGTTTTTTATTATTAACAAATTTATTTTTTATTATTAATTTTAATAGAATGATAAAGTATTAGCAATATGTGAGGTTTGCTAGAAAAATGGGACTTTAAGCATTTTTTATTAAAATTTTAATTTTTATTGCATTTTAATCTAAAATTATCAAAAAACAAAAATGTGATAAATATTTTAATAAAAAATTCTCAGAGTCCCATTTTTCTAGCAAATTTCTCATATGTTAACTTTATGCATCTATTAACTTCTCAATAAGATAAAAAGATTTATAACAACATTTTTAAATTCAAATATTGATGAAATGGATTTTGAAGATTCTGAAGTTTCAAATATTGAAAATGACAAAGATAGCGAAGATAATAATGAAGACAATATAATTACTTCTGAACATTGAGAATAAGAATTAAAAGAATGGGAAGTAATGTTATTAGAAGAAGAATTAGCATGAATGGATGAGAAAGAAGCATTAAGAGATAATTCAAATAATAATATGAAAAGTGATCTTTTAAATGAATATAATATCCAGCAATAGATAAAAAAGCAAATGGAAACTGAGAAATTTATTTAGTACTTCTCTTAATGCTTCTGATTACTTAATTGTAATATCAAATGAATAAAATTCTTTTTTTTGTATGATTGAACATTATTGAATAAAAATGTATCATATGAAACCTTTGCAATAGAAAGGGAGAAAACTGCCGGAAAAATAAAAAATGAGTTAATGCTAAATTTGAATATTTTTCGGCCTGAAAATCATATTTGGTATATAAAAAGTAAAATTGATTTTTCCCGGTAGTTTCCCTCCCCTTTCTATTGCAAAGGCCCCATATGATAAAGTGCTTCCAATAAATTTTTATGGAAATAATATTTGAATTGGGAGATTGGAAGTCCAATCTTTCTCTGAACATCACTGCCCTATGCTGCTTCTAAGGTTGGGTCGGTCCTGATAAGACCAGTTTTGGACGGTCCTTTACGGTCCTCGGTCCTAATTCTGAGGACCAGTCCAAACCGGTCTATATAATATATTGCATGTATCTATAAAATAATTAAATTATGAATAAGGTTACAGCATTACTCTTAGGTTTCGATTAAGGTTGGTAAAAACCGGTCTTGGATAGGTTATTTAACTTAATTGCCAATCCTAAGATTCTAAGTACCATTTTTCGTTTTACATAATTCAAATTTTTTATTTAAAAGATACAGTTTCCTTTTAATGCAGTCCATTTTAATATATACTGTATGTCTAATTAAAAATGTCGTGTTCGTAGTTAAATTGTTCGTATATGTCGGAGTAAAAAATAATAAAAATTTTTTTATAAAGAAGTAACATGTCGATTAAAAAAAATTTTCGATCGCAGAAAATTAAAGGAGGAATTTATGCATTTAATTCCATGTTTAAAAATACCGCCACTAGATGTGTGATGATAATTATATATATTATACCTATGTACTTCAAGATTAACTCTTATAAAGGACCAGGACCAAAAAGAAACAAATTTGAGACTGATAGGTTCGAATGATGCAAGACCGGTCTTAGGACTGACTTATGGACCAGAGAGATAAAAGACCGGTCTTTTTGGACTGGACCAATCCAACCTTTATTATGCTAACATTTTTGGTTTCAAATTCATTATCGGACACAACTTCATTATGATTTTTAATTACTAAAAAGTTATCGATCTAATTCTTTTATAATATGCTTGATGTTTAAAAATGCTGCAGCAGAATTTGATAATGTTTCAAAATTTTCTTTAGAGTACATTATCAACCCTTATTTCGGCAATTACATATCCTGCTTTGCTTCAAAGTCAACAGATGAAAAGGTATAAATGACGAACAACGTTTACACATCCAGCACCATACAGCATTCACATGTTAAAAAGATAACCCTGAGATGGGTGACATTTATTAATATTTGTATAGCATTGATAAACTAATACACCATTAATCAAGAATAAAAGTTTCAAATTTTTGTCTATCTCTTTATACATAACAATAAGGATATACAGTACATTATATTATATTTGGGATAAGCTGACTTTTGATCTCCTCGAAGGTGATATGCGTTATGTCAGGGAATTTACGAATGTTTACAGAGTGATTGGGAGTGCTGGGACTACCTCGAATATAGACAATACGAAATATAGGCAAGCGCCTGCCATTTTTGATAACAACAAACCTATTTTCTGAATCTATTTTAGCAAAATGACTGGGACCATACATTTCATTCAAATACATCTCGATCTGATTTCTTCCATTAATTTGCAGACATTGGTTCAAATGCTTGCTTGATGTTTGTTGATGATTTGCTGTTGTGTGTTATAAAGTCACTGATAGATACCTGTATAAATATAGGTCCAAGTATGTAATCAAATCGGGGATATTTATCAAAGCCGCGACACAAGACTTTATCATAACCAGGTCCAAGGGATAAGCCGGAAGACTTGATTATAGCGTAGTCATCAAAATGGAGTGTAACAATATCTTAGTTGTATTGTTGCATTACATTTGCACACAAGTCGATTGACTCAAATTACTCTCTAGTTAATCTTCCTACACAGAGTTGATTTTTAATAGTTTCAGGTAGGTCAAATGAAACATACATTTTTAATAGGACTTTCTGAGCAGGTGGACATAGAGGAAGGTAATGAGTAATCTCTTCCTTGTACCGATAAATTAACCCAAGATCTAAAAACTTCCATTCAAACTGTACAACCGGTTTACTGGGGAGAAACATGCTTGTAAGGGCATGATAGTAGCGGTTTTTTTTCATTTTCCTGGAGAGTATTATAATATGTTTGAGCCATAACCAGAAACTGGTCGACCCGTTCATTCTCAAATTTTTCTAGTGCTTGTTGAAATAATCTTACATTAATAGTAGTGAAATTGAGACTATCAACATATTTAGCTAGGAGCATGAGTTCACGTGGCACACAATTCGTAACCTTTTTTTCTGCTTTTCTGATGCCCGGTTTATTCAGAAGGGTGTTCATTTGCAACAATTTATCAAACACATCTTTCTGTAATGGACCGACATAGATCAAATAATTACTCTGACCATTCTTCATGTGTACTATTTCATATTTAGCATGTGCAGTCCCCGTGAAGACTACACGTGCATGATTGAAACTTTCTCCCCAAAAATTAAGGTTCATCAGAGGACTTAACAAGTGAATTCTTAAAGGTACCGGATCTTTTTCAAATAATATATCATGTTCGTCAATAATTAATAGAGCTTTGTGATCTGCTAATTTGATTAAGTGTAGAATTGCTTCGGCGACGGCAACCTCAACCTCAACAGAAGAATCATGTTGCACAATCTCCTTAAGCTCGGCAGCAGTCAAAATATCTTTATTAAGTGCCAGGAAGTACCTGCAAATCACCTTTTCTGCTCTTTTTGATGTTTTTACATTTAGACCAGCTGCATCTGCGATGTAGAGCATCAGCCATTTTTCAGCATAAGCTTTAGATGCGAGGAAGTAGGAAATGTATGATTTACCCACGCCCATTGGGCCTGAAAGAACACGCTTGATTGAATGATCACTATCTGCTGAAAGCTTGTTCCAAATGTCAATCATCTGCCCAGTAACAAGCAATATCCTTCCTTGATAATCTTCAGCGAAGTGTTTAGGTTCTTGGCCAAGATGTGGTAGGGTAATTGATTGGCCAACTTTAAGGTTCTGGAAGGCTGTTTCGAAATTGATGCGCGGTTCAGGTACGAATTTGTCACTTTCAAGCATGTCAATTATTTTGGATGGCAGTTCTACGGAATGACTATCAGAGGCAGTGTACTGCTTTCAGCCCTGTTCTACTCGACGTTTCTTTGTAAAACCTCAAAGCGCAGTAGGAAGTAAAGAAGTTAAGTCAATATTATATACCACGTTGACTAAATTTGTTGACTCACCAGTGACTACAGGAACCTTAACAACAACTCGAATGTTGTTTCCTTGGACTTCGTGAAAAGTTTCTCCAACCTTTTGTGTTCCGAGTTTTATTTCATTTCCTTTATTCAATAATTCATCAAGAGCATTACTAAAATTACTCTCATCAAAGTTAACCTTCCATAATCTAAGGTCTTTGGCTTTTACGTTGCCAGGTACACTAATTTCCTCTAAGATGGCTTTCTTTAGGTCAAAAATAGAATTATAATTTCCAATGATAACATAGAAGGAACTACTTCCATATTCAAGGCACCAAAGGGTAATAGTAGACATTTTTTACTATTATTTGTAGAAAAGAAAGAAAAGGATTTTTTTTTTTACAGATTGGGAATAAGTTAGTTTTATAGAGATCTGATCAGTGATGCAATCAATTTATGGGCGCAGTAGTCGCCATATAGAAATTTCTGAACTTATTTATCCTAACCGAAAAAGAAACATTATTAGTAATATTTATTCGTGATGACTAAATTTATTGCGAGCTGAGTTGATCTACGATAACGTGAATGTGTTTTTTTGACGATAAGAAAAGCACACGATTATGTAAGTATTTGGCAAATATGAAAACGAGAGTTTTAAGCAACCTTTACTTGATGTTTCGATAAAATTTGAGAACATACCAGGCGGAGAGATTAGAGATCTCAAGAAGACTCATCCGTTGTGTAAGTCACCGCATCATTTTGTCGTTTATCATTTCCAATGAAATATTTTCGTAAAGCACCCTTTTCCTCCTTCAATAAAACCGAGGCTATTGATTAGTGTTTTGAGATCTTGTATTGCAGTGAACATTTTTTTTCGGTTAGGAAAAATAAGTGGTACCATCATTACTATATTAGGAAATCAAAGTGTAGATTTTAAATAAATTCATATTACTATATAATTGAAAGATTTATTAGATTCATTTCATTTTCTTTAAACTTTGGTTTTAAAAAGGCAAGTCATTTATATTTTCGGTTATAGAAAGGAATATGAAAGGTGTATAATGATGAAATCTTTGGTAATCGCAATAGAGGACCAGAAACTACAATTTAATTGTTTGAGCCATTTTGTAGTGTCGTTTTAAAACGTTACAAACAAAATCGGCTCAAAGTTTTGGCCAAAGACGATAAAAAGGCGAAATTGAATAAAGCCTTTTACTTATTTTTAATATAATCGCCAACAAAAAAAATTTTATGACAAAATGATTAAATTATATTTTTATTTTAAATATTTTTTTTTTTTAGGACGTATCCATGGCGAAATCAAAGTACGAATATGTTAAACAGTTTGAAAAGGATGATTCTTTAATTCCCAATACTTGGCTTGTCATTCGTTTAGATGGACATGGTTTTCACAAGTAAGTTCCGAATAATTCTTAAGAATTTATTAAAATCAATTATTTTTTGAGTTTTTTTTTTTTGCGACTTAGATTTTCAGATCGTCATCAATTTGAAAAACCAAATGATCATCGTGCTTTAGATCTTATGAATAAATGTGCCGAAGCTGTAATGATTGAAATACATGATATCATTCTCGCCTATGGACAAAGTGACGAGTATAGGTAAAGAGTGACCTACTCATTTTCTAATTAAATTAAAAAGTGAATCCTTATGAACTAAATCCATTTTTTTCTTCATTTATTTACAAAATAGTTTCATATTGAAGAAAGAAAGTAATCTGTTTAATCGACGAAGCGCGTAAGTCACACCTTACGCAACCTAAATTTAAAAAGTCTACCTGTATTCATCCTGTACACGGTTAAATAGAAAGATCGTATCTACGATAGTTAGTTTATTCACATCCAATTATGTATTTCATTGGAAGACGTATTTTCCTGATAAAGAATTACAATATCCTCCATCATTTGATGGTCGCGCGGTTCAATATCCATCTAATAATAATTTAAGAGATTATTTGAGTTGGCGACAAGCAGATTGTAAGAGTTTTATAAGTTTATCTTTTTGAGATGTAACATCAACCTTCTTCTTATTTTTCTTATTATTAGGTCATATAAATAATCTGTATAATACTTGTTTTTGGGCACTGGTTCATTCTGGAAAGACAGAAAATGAAGCCGAGAACGCGTTAAGAGTAGATGTTTAAGTTTCTTTCATTTAATTGAATCGTAAAGATATTCATCATTCTAATATAGGTTCATTCAATTTAGGGCACAATATCTTCTGACAAAAATGAATTACTTCATTCATCATTCGATATAAATTATAATAATTTACCTGAAATGTACCGAAAAGGTTCTGTACTGATTAGAAAAGAGGTAATGAATTATCATTTTCAATTAGTAAGTTGATATATAGCTCACTAAATAATACTTTCATTATATTATTAGGCTAATCTCATGACTCTTAATCAGAAAGGCGTCGAAGTCATTAGGAAAAAAAAGGTTGTTACAACATCACATGTAGATATAATTCATGATAAATTTTGGAAGGAAAATCCCGAGTTAAATGTATCTGTGTAAATTGTAGTTTGTACAAACCCCAAAAGATTTATTTGTTAAGCTTCATTCAATGAAAAAAACGAATATCTTTTACATAATTTAATGAGAACTTTCTTGTTTTTCATCTCGAAACCTCGAAGCTAATATTTCATATACCGTTAAAAATCATGCCCCACGTTTATTTGTACAAATAAAATGATAATTGCGTTTTGAATTTAAATTCGTCACTCCATTAATTTCTATTAAAAGCATCCGGCTCTTTTGAAACCGTAGATGATGAATAATCTATCGTGTCTTCATTAAAATTTAAAGAATCAATTTTTAATCTTGTGCTCCGACCAGTTGATATTGAATTAATTTGATAGTTGTTGGGAGAAGGAGATAATTCATTATGATGTATTAGATTAGAATCATGCACGTTTCTTGAGGGTGCATTATTTAAATAATCGTAACTTTCATTAAAATTTCTTAAGTTTTGGGAATGATGTTGAGCGGAAGGTGAACTAATCTCAATTGTTGGTAATGGTGTTGTCGGTGAGTGATGAACCGAGGCATTCGAGTAAGAAGATTCCGAGTCATCCGAATAATAAGGATTAGATATTGGGGAAAATCCACGAGCGGACACCGGTGGACTTGGTACATCAAATTGGGCAAAATGTGAATCTGGAAATGGAGAATAAGGTGGACTATTATTATCCGTTAATGTATTCAGATGCTGCAGATTTAAAATCTGTTGTGGTGTATTATCCGGTGTGGCCTGAATAACTTGCGGTGGACCTCTTGGAGTCGAAGGTAGTTCTGGTGAAGATGGAAAAAATGGTGACAAGGACAACAATGGTGGAGAATTGGGAGGTGGAGGTGGAGGTGGGATACTTGAAAACGCCGATGATTTTGGTGGTGGATAAGGTGGTGGTGGTGGTGGTATAAATGAAGGCTCTGGTGGTTCATATAACGGAATGCACGGACGGGATAATGATGAATGACAGGTAGCTTCTTTCATTGAATTTGGAGATTCGCGACCTAATATAGCATTCAACATTTTTGATATGTGTTTTCCATCCCTTGGCGTGCTTATTTCAATCGAAGAATTGTTTCTAGCGTAACAACGTCTAGTTCTTGAGTCATATATTAAATATCGTCCCACAATGATATTAGGATCATCCAGACCGAATTCGCAATGTTTGTTCTCTTCGGTTTTGGAAAACCGAGAGTTAACGTGTTCTTGAATAAAGTCAGATTTCCCTCTTCGAGTCTCTGAGAAACGGTTGTCGTTCATATTTGTTTTCCAATGAAAAATAAAATTTTTTATTCAAGTTCTTTATTATTCGTAACTTTTTATGAGGATAAAAGCTAAAAAACAAAAAAAAAAAATTAGAAAAAAAAAAGTTTTAGAGAAGAATAAAGTGCTCACGCGTTCTTTTAACGCGTTGATTCGAATTAATTGGTTTGGATGTTCTCTTACACGATTTTAATAGGTAATTGTATGTCAATTTCACGTGTATTGAGTTTATTAGAAGTTCCCGCTCAAAAACTGAGTCGATGCTGATTGGTTCTTTCCGTTATAAATTTTTGCCCCCCGCGAGTCGGGAGAAATTACCGAGATTTATGAAAGGATGTTTTTTCTTTTTATCATCCCAAGAATCATGATTTTTGCAAAATTCTATTATATGTAAATGGGAAAACAAATAAGCCCTTTTTCAACAAGATATCATTTATAATAAAGTTCTTTTACCATTCTTTAATGGATCAGCGAAAGAATCGGTAAACGCATTTTTTTTTTAAATTTAATTAAATAAAAATATGTAAAAATAATAAGCTTCCACCATAACGCTTGTTTTAATCTATAAAATCTATTAGATGCTGTTTAATTTCATGTTTGACGCTTCTTTAGTCTTACCACAAGATATTGAAATAAAGTTTTTGTAATGTTACTACCAAATTATTAAAATATCGATGTTCAAAATCGATCGGTTTAAAAATCGGTCTAAAAATCGAACCTTCGTTCCACAAATCGGACCGAGATCGGTGAAATCGGATCATTAGAGACGCGTTCTTTTTTTTTCACGTTACTTATTTAAGAAGCAAAGGGTTTAAAATTTTACAATAAAAAAAATTTACTTTGGGTTTTGTTTGTAAAAGTTCCAAAATTCTTTTTCTTTTATAGAAAGTTTCTTTATACTAGCAAATTGTTGTCTGAATTAAGTCGTCAAGTAGGTGGGTATTCTACTTACCAATGCGGGGTGAATTTTCGAGAGTTTTCAAGTTATTAAAAAACCTTTATTGCTTTATATATAAAGAAGAAAGTATGGAAACGTTCACTGACCTCCTTTCAGACACCACAGATCTTTACTCCCTCTTTTCACTTTCAGAAAGTGCCACAGCTGCAGAAATTAAGAAGGCATATTATAAGCTTGCACTTCAATATCATCCAGATAAACTGACTTCTTTAACACCAAAAGAAAAGGAAGAAGGAACGAAAAAATTTCAAGCCTTGGGATTCGCCTATTCCATACTCAGTGATACTAAGAAAAGAGAAAGGTATGATAAGTCTGGTGAAGTGGGCGACCTTCCTGGTATAGAGGATTTAGGAAGTGATGGCTGGAAAGAATTTTTCAAAGAATTATGGTCTGGTGTTGTCGATGCAAATTCGATAGACGAATTTAAAAAGAAATATCAAGGTTCGTTTGAGAGAGATATGTCATTCAAAAAATTCTTTGATGTTCTTTTTTTTAAAAAAAAATAACCTTGTAATTTTAGGGTCAGAGGAAGAACGTGAAGACCTCATTAAAGCCTACAAAACTTCTAAAGGTAACATGGATGAAATCATGACTAGAGTACCAGGTTCCAGTATAGATGATGAAGCACGTTTTCGTGATATTCTCAATGAGGCAATAAAATCTGAGGAAATCCGATCATATAAAAAGTTTACAGAAACTTCTAGTTCGTCGTCGATAAATAAACGTAAGATGGATGCAGAACGTGAAGCCAAAGAAGCCGAAAAGATGGCGAAAGAACTCGGATTGGTGAATAATGAAGATGAGAAAGAAATTAATGATATTATACTTAAGAGAGGGGAAAAACGAATGAATGCATTGATTGAAAGTTTAGAGGCCAGATATAGCAATAATGAAAGTAAGAAGGCAAAGGTTACTGGTAAAGGGAAGAAAACCAAGAACAAAGGTGTAATAGTGAATGAACCAACTGAAGAGGAATTCCGAGCTATACAAGAGAAAATGCTTAAAAATCGAAGCAAAAAATAAAAATTGCACAAGGTATTATATTTATTTGTAAAGAGAACTATTAAAGTTGTCTTTTACAATAATTTTACAATATCATTTTAGAATTTCCGATTCATAAATATATTGATATGATAATAACATATTATCCATTAATATGAGACTTGTATTATTAATATTTTTTTATTAATATAATATAACAAAGTATCGACCATTGTTATGTTCTTTAAGTCTTTTGAAATAAATTACTTGTCACATTCCAATGTTTAATCACTGGAGACCTCATTGATCTATCATAACCCAATACACACAATCCCTGTTATTGATAAGCGCAAAAAATTTTGAGCAAGTCAACAAAATATAAATATATGCAAAAAGGCTTATTGATTCACTTACTGCGGTATCGAGAATATAATTTTTTCCCATTTCAGGAGCCATATTCAACCACCTACATGCCATAACTCTCAACAAGTGAGAATGCGCTACGACAAGAACGTCGCCTCCCGGCGAATTGGGATTACTATCTATATGCTTTATTATTAAAAGGGTGATTTTTTTTAATTCAGTATTTTATTGTGGAAAATGAGAAAATGAGAGTTAAAATGTGTGTTAAATACTTTATTCTGATGAGCAACAATTTTTGCAATCATGTGATCACATCGGGTGGCTACGTGTTGAATTGTTTCCCCATTGGGACATCCGTCTCTCCTATTAATAATCAAAAGTATCTTAATATATTTCTAAACTTTCTTTACTTCTTTAAAAATACCTCTCAAATAATATTACCAAAGGTCCCAAAATACGTATTTCTCACTATGAATTTCATGTGTTGTGACTCCTTCGTAATCACCATAATTCCATTCCGTTAAATTAGGATCAGTGAAAGTGGGAATTTGGTCTTTATTAGGAACTTTAATCAACTCAAGAGTTTGTTGAGCTCTTTTACGAGGCGAAACATAAATCTGTGTGATATTGTTTGGATCAATGAAACCTATCCAAAATAGGAAGCAGAATGGTTAAAGGAAATTTGATATGGTTATGAAATTATCTTAGGCATTAATTACCTTGACATTGGTTTTCAAAAACGAAACGAGACAAGTCGCGAGCTTGTGTGATACCATGAGACGTTAATTCTACCTCTGTAATAGATGTGTGTTTTTCTTCTTTTGACCATTCTGTTTCACCTAAATTCATTATATATCCAATACTATATAAATATTTAATTAATTTCGGTATAATAAAGGAAATATATTACCTTACCATGTCGAATAAGGCTTACTACAGGGAGTCTTACAACCATTATTTATAACGAAGGAAAAATAAAACCAACAAGAATAAATAATTATGTAACCTTATTAGGTAAAAAAAATATACTAGTAACAACGATTTAATTTGAAATATAAACAAACAAACTGAAAATCTATTGATTACGTTATGAAAATTTTGAGATAAAATTTTTTTTTTTTACAAATATGTTTCGTTTGCGAGCTACCTTTTTTAAAAATCGAATTTATCAAAGAATTCCTCATTTATTATTAAAAAGATGTTATACTTCAAGACCCAATATAAATTTTGATGATATCATGAACAATGCGAATAAAAATTTAGAATTATTAAACCGTTCTAAAGATTGGGAATTGATTAAAAATGAAACACGGATGTTACAAAATCAATTACAGGTATATATTTATATATATATATATCTCTTTTTTAAAAAAAAAGTAAGATCTCTGAAAGTGGTAAAACTTTTTTAAAATTACATATCGTTAATTTTTTAAAGAAAGTCGGAAACTTTATGGAATGATCCGTCTGCGGCCACATTATTGCAAAAAAGGTTTTCTAAATTAAATGATCAAATTGAAAGATATGAACGATTAAATAAGAATGTTAAGGATATTAATGAATTAGCAGGTATATCAGAAAAAAAAAATTTTTTTTTTAATTTTTTAAAAAAAAAAAAAAATTAAGTTATAGAAAATTTTTAGAATTGGCTAATGAGGAAAATGATATGGAATTGATGAATGCTACTTTATATGATGCGGAAATTTTAGAAAAAGAAATAAAGAAATTTACATCAACTTCCTTTATGTATGTAAAAATCAATACTTACTTTTGAAATTATTAATAATTTAAATTGAATAATTTTTTTTTTAATTGCCAACTTTTTTTTTTCTTATTTGAAGGGTAGAGGAAGAAGATCAAAATGGTTGTATTATACAAATTACACCTGGTGCAGGTGGAGCAGAAAGTTGTGATTGGTCTGATATGTTATTAAAAATGTATGAAAAATGGGGAAATAAAAATGGATATAAAGTTAAGTTAATGGATTATGTTAAAGGAGAAATTGTTGGATGTAGATTAGCATTCTTACAAATTGATGGAGAATACGCTTATGGATGGTGTAAACATGAATCTGGAGTTCATAGATTAGTTAGAATATCTCCTTTTGACACTCAAAGTAGAAGACATACATCATTTGCTTCTGTTATTGTATTTCCTATGGTTAATGAAAATGATAGTGTTGATGCTGGAAATGTTGAAATTCCAAAGTCGGATCTAAGGATTGAAGTATTTCGTTCAAGTGGACCTGGCGGGCAGCATGTTAATGTTACTGAAAGTGCCGTCAGAATTACTCATATTCCAACTAAAATTGTTGCACAATGTCAATCGGGAAGATCTCAGCGCGCAAATAAAGTCTTGGCCATGACAATGCTTAAATCTAGATTATATGATAAAGTTATAAGGGAAAGGTAAGAAGATTTAATGAATAATTCATTTTAAAAAATAAATTTACTTTGATATTTATTTGTAATTATAGAAATAATGCCAAACAAGCACAATATTCGAATCTGCCCGAGAATGCTTGGGGATCTCAAATTAGATCTTATGTATTACATCCTTATCAGGTTTGTCAAAAATCATATTTTAACATTTTCTATCAAATAATCTTTAAAATATATATATATATATGGTTTTTTTTATTAGCTTATCAAAGATGTTAGAACTGGATTTGAAACGACTCAGATTGATAAAGTATTAAACGAAGGTGAATTAAATGGGCAAGTAAATTTAATATACGTATAAATGTAATTATCATGAAATGATTTAATTTTTCCTCTCCTTTGCAGGTTTATGGAAGCATATTTAACAAGGTTTACTAAAAACCTTAATAATTATCATTAATAAATTTAAACAAACAAAATACTATAATTTAGATTAATACAATTAATTTTTCCCTTTATAATGTTCGTTCCCAACGGGATGTCCCTCTCTGATTTCTGACAAAGTATTTTCTCTTAATTGTGTATCAGCGAATAAAGCACAAATTAGTCCTTCCAATTCATCGATAGTAAAACATACGAGTTCACCATTACGAAATCTACTCATAATCCCTGCGAGTGGTAAATCAAGTATGTCTGTCATATGACGAAATTTCGTCCAGTGTTTTATGTGTTTTTCTATTGAATTTATCTACAGATAAGTGTATATAAGGAAAAATTAATAATTAAACTTATTTCATTTTAACAAGTGAAGAATTACATTACCTCTTTTCTATTAAATAAATTTTCTAGTTGACATAACATTGTACATATTAAATTTAATTGTTGCGATTCTTCCGCTGATATATCATATAAATCTTCAATATAATCTGTCATACGTGTTAATACCGAATCTATCAAATCACCCAACACTGTAAAATATTCTGTTGGACGTAAAATATCCTATGGAATTTGAAAGCTTTAGTAATAAACATCAACATAAAGATAAATATCCAACTCGTTTTACTTACTTTCCAAACTTTTGATAAATGGTTCATAGTATATACAATTTGATTCATTGCACTCTGACATGCTTCAAATCTTTCATCATTTGCAATTTGTTGTACTCCGCCCATTTCATCTAAAATCTCTTTAAGAACACTTTTTTGCTTATCCTTAAAAACAAAAATAAATTGATATTTATATATGAATAAAGATATTCAAAGAAAGAATTTTTCGGTTTTGGTATCAACATAACTTACCATCTGAATATCATACCATGTTTTACCTAATTCTCTTAATTTCTCAACAGTATCATTATATGAAATTTTACCTTTGATGTCGACAGAATCTCCAGAACTAGATGGAGATATTAGATCATTTTTGAATTGATCTTGCACAACTAAAAGTTGATCTGCAAGCCATAAACAATCATTCCTAAATAGCATGGCTAAAGAAGGTATATTACTAAATGTGTTATGATGGAAAACTGGCATTATGGCACGAAATAAATCAAACAAGTCAAGAGTTGCTTGATAAAGACGTATCCCACTAATTGTTTTTCGCAAAGTTTTAATTAAGTTAGAAAAAATTCAAAAAAATTTACAATTTTTTGAAATTATTAAATAAATAAACAAATACCTTTTGGCATTTAAATTACGAATCTCATTCAAAGTTTTTATTACTAAATCTATTAGAGCCTTTCCTTTATTTGAAATGGAATATCGAACCAGTTTCATTCCCTGTTCACTTATTATATCTTTACTAATCAAATTTTCATTATTTTTTTGTGAATTATTCGATTTATCCCAATCATCATCTCCATCCCATCCCTCATTCCAATCGACTTCCCAACCATCGCTAGGATTATTGTTGACATTATGTATGGCAAATATATCCTTTGTTCCCTCTTCTTTTTGTTCATTAATTTCGCCAATTTTACTAGATTCAATAACCGGCTTATTATTTAAAGTCTCTTGTGCATTATCATTTATTTCTGAATTCTGTTCCTCTGTGATTTCCTCACTCTCGAAATTTACACCCATCATAACGTTACGTCCAAGTTCTAATAACTTGTCACGTTTCTTAATTGTAAAATGAACATCAACCTTCGCAACATATGATCCTAAAGTACTTTCTTCCTCCTCTCCATCTCGAGGCTCACGCATAAATCCCATTTTACGCATTTCGGCCTGAAAACATATTACATCATGTGCCACCTCATCAAACCTTTTGAATTCAAATGTCTCTGTAGGAATCACATGTGAGAGGTATTCGTCGATAACGGCATCGCGTAAGTCATGCGAGATAAATTTACCAAAGGTAGATGAATATTGAGTGGCAAGTGGTAATATCACAAGTTCTTTAGTAGAAGGGTCGAGACCGCCAAATATAAATGTATAAATGAATTTGAATATGGTAACCAATGGTGCAAATACTCTGTCTAAAAAAAAAGACATCAAAATTAGTAAAAGAATTTTTAAATTATTTTCATAATACGAACTAATTCATAAATCACCTTGACTTGTGTTCTTATCATTCAAGTCTGGACCAATTACTAAACGAGCGGTAATACTGTCATCAACCTCTATGGATGCATTCCATGAATCGCGATGCTTCAATAAGGGTATTATTAAATACTTCATTACATTCTTTTTTAATCTCGATAGTTGCATATTAATTGAATCAACCTCGTTGAGGGAAATAAACACTGATGTTAAAAGTGCTGTGGTGTTCGCGCCTAAATAAAGATTCAACTTTATTAAATATACATCCTAAATGATTTTTTTATCAAAAAAAAAAATATACCTGCCTTCCACAGAAGACAATACAGTAAGATTAGATTCATTTTCACCAATTTTTTTGAAAGAAATTGATTGTGTTAATAAATCATCAAGGGTTTGATCCAATGACTCTTTCATATTGGATAATTGTGACTAATGATTTAACAATAATATTATCAAATTATGTCGCTGTAATTAACAAATCACTGACCATGTATTATTCGATTTAAATGTTTATACTTCGAGAACGAACCTTTAGCCTATCAAAAATTTGAATTTTTCGTTCAGTTGATACAGGTGAAGATTCTAATAAGCTATCCTATGGAAAATACGTTAAACTTATATTAAGTAAATTGATCTTGTAGTAAGAGATATGGGAGGTTTGCTAGAAAATGGGGTTCTGAGAATTTTTAATAAAATTTTGATTTTTATTGTATTTTAATTTTTGATGATAAGAATGAAATTTTAGTCAAAAAATTCTTAGAACCCACTTTTCTAGCAAACCTCCCATATTATAGTATTTGCTAATTATTCTCGTACCATTTGTGTGATAGTGCCAGAAGCCTCCTCAATTCGACCTTGGTCTAAATATTCGTGAAACTTCTTTATACATTTTTGTATCTTTCATTACAAGACGAAATATGATTATTTTGAATATAGAAAGATATAATTTACCGAACAGTTATGCGATCTTTCATATGCAATACCTCACTCAAGTATTCTAAAGTTTCCACCACTGATTTAGTGTTCTGAACCTCCTGCATTACAGACCTATTCTCTTGTAATACATTGATAAGATTTGGCCTCATTCCAGTCTGTACTTGGTTAATAAAAATAATTAAAATATTGGCTTTCAATCTTTCAAATTCATCAAAATCGTTCTTAAAATTCCTAAATATAATACCTCGGGACGATTTATTTCTTGAGAAACATTATGTACCTCCGTAAATAATGTATCAATCCTATCTCGCAATGAAACAGAATCATTATAAAGATTAACAAAATCATCTTTATGATTAAGAATTATTTGTAAAGCTTCGGTCTAGAAATTCAAAGAAATTCAATAATGATATATACATTTTTACAATATATTTTACTGTATAGCTAAGAATTTCTTTTTTTAAAAAAAAAATAGAACAGAATAAATTGGCATAATCAAACCTTTACGCTTCGAATTTTGTCATCAATTCGTTGAATACACGAAAAAACTGCTTCCCTGTCAGAAGAGGTTGCAAGCAACGTATTTTGCTGTTCTTTAACAGAATCATTGTCTTTTTCTCGGTTTCCCTCTATTATGGCTGATATAAAAGCTCCCGGAAGTGCTACCGTACTAATCGGTAATGGTGGCATTCTGAAGATTTCTTGTTAACTCGTTAACTTGTTCGTAAAATAAACATTTTAAAAAGCAATATAAATGGAACTTGAAGATCACAATATTACATTCACGTGCCTGATCTATGATGAAATTTCAATGTAAATGTGACATTGCGAAAAATATAAATATTTCAGAAATATCACAGTGTGGAATACAATCTCTCCAAGACAATAAATAAGCAATAATGAGTCTCTGGGTTGATAAATATAGACCTAAATCACTTGAAGAGCTTACATATCATTCAGAGCTAACAAATCGACTTAAAATTTTGGTAAGGACGTTATTTCAAAGTTTACGCGCTTTCCAAAGTATAAATAAAAGGCGTGCAAAAGCATTTATTTTAAATCTTTGCGTGGTTACAATTTCAGGCTTCTTCAGATTTTCCTCACTTGCTTATATATGGTCCCTCGGGAGCAGGCAAAAAGACGCGTATTTCTTGCCTATTAGAAGAGTTATATGGTCAAGGTGTTCGAAAGGTATTGATTTTATAATTGCATTACTTTCTTGTTACTTTCAAGTCATTAATTACTTTTTTTCTTGACGACAGCTTAAAACTGATGTACAAACTTTTACCACGCCTTCTCGGAAACTTGATATAACTGTTGTTTCGAGCAAATATCATCTTGAGATAACCCCTAAGTAATTAATGTTTTGTTTATATGTAAATTTCGAATTTAAACTAATTTTCATGATTTATTATTTACATAGCGAGGTTGGTTATTCTGACCGAGTAGTTATTCAAGAATTTTTAAAAGATGTAGCTCAAACAAAACAAGTTGATTTGTCCATCAAACACGACTTCAAAGGTAACGTTAAGATTAAGATTCGCTTTATGAATTATTCATAGATTAATAATTTCTTTTATAAATCACTGTTTAGTGGTTATTATACATGAAGCTGATTCACTTTCACGTGAATCTCAGGCTGCGCTACGTAGAACCATGGAATTGTATATGTCAAACGTGAGGCTCATTTTGTGTTGTAAATCTCCAAGTAAAATTATTGATCCAATTCGGAGTAGATGTTTATTGATCAGAGTACCCGCTCCTACAAACGACGAGGTTTAAACACATCTTTACGCAGCATACTTTCATTACAATATAATGGTAATAATTGAGCTTTTTCTAAATTGCAGATAATCGAAATTCTTTCGGATATCGCGAAAAAAGAAAATATCAAATTACCTTTAAAGGTTGCAAAGCTTATCGCAGATCAATCCAATCGAGATCTGAGGAAAGCTATTTTATCTTTTGAATCTTTATACATGGAGTAGTATGTTAAATTTATTTGATATATTCTAATTACAGCTGTTGTTATTTTGAATTCAAGTTCATTTCTATTTTATTATAAAACTTATAGCGACGATTTGAAAGAGAATATTCGTTACAAATTTACGGATTGGGAAGAAATTATTAACGATATTGCCAATAAAATATGCCTTCAACATAGCCCTGAAGAGTTAAATTATATTTCCATTTATTATTATATATTTGACTAAGTAACATATGTAATAAGCTATTATTAATGATTGTTTATTATCATTGAAATATCTAGTTTAGAAAAAATCCGAGAATCGCTTTATGAATTGTTAAATACTTATATTTTGCCATCAAATCTGATGAAGGTAAATTTTTTAATGCTAAACAATTTTATTTATATTCACTATTATGTATTGTAATAATTAATAATAATTATTATTATTTTCAGTATCTTTTCCTCGCTATAGTAAGAAGAGCTGGTAACAATGTCAAATGCGAAATTCTTGAAAAAGCGGCTGAATTTGTATGTATTGAATGTTTTTTTTTTTTAATAATTATCGTTATTTTATTTATTGAAATAATTTTTATAGGAGCATCGAAGTGTGATTGGATCGAAAGCAATTATCCATATTGAAGCTTTTGTGATTAATGCAATGTATATTATTGGACGGTAAATAAATTAAATATCAAGTGTAATTTTTTAAAAAATAAAAAAATATATATATGATTAATAATTTATATTATTACTTTATAGTCATAAAGAAGGGCTCAATCAGAATAGTATGGATATTGATTAGAATATAAAATTTTAGTTATTTCTTATTTTAATAAGATAATTTCTCTTGTTGATTTAAATAAAGTTATTATATTTGTAATATTTTGTCTTATAAAATCACTTAAATTTTATAAAAAAATTCTGCTATAAGCTTCTATAATCTCGTTATCAAAATTTCAAGTTTTATTAATTATTTCTTTCATAAAGTGAAAATATTGCTTCCAAGTATATGGGGTGAGTGCTGGGAAAAAGGACCAAATCGACAAAAAATTTTTTTTTGAAATAACAAATGATCTGAATCAGATGACCAAATCTACATCTATTTTACTTAGGAACTTTTTTTTAAAAAAAAAATCAATTTGGTCCATTTTCCCAGCACTCACCCCATATGTGTGACCCCTATTTCTTTTTTTAAATATTCACAATGAACTGTAAATTAAATCAAAGTATATGGTTGGTTAGAAATGTGGCACAGTAAAATAGTGAATTTTGAACTTCTTTTTAAATGAATCTAACATATTTATTAAACTTAAAACTTTTTTGTTAATATGGCTATTATTATAAAAAAAAAAAAATTTGAACGACCCGGGACTGATTACTTTTATATAATAATGAAATAACAGAAATCTTCATGACTATTAATAAAAATAAAATTACGCATTTCTTTTGTGGTGGGATGTCGTATATGCGATTCGAAGAATTTTTCGCTGAGGTGTATGATGTTATTATATGATTTATCCTGCTTTCCTGACATCCCGATCAAAATCTTAATAAAAGTCAACTTATTATTTACCATATCGGTATAAGAAACATTACGAATATTACGAATAATAATGAAATTATCGTACTTTTGAAAATAATGAGTGTGGTAAAAAAAAAAAAATATATATAATAATTTTTTTCTGATACTTATTATTGTTCCATTGAAAATTATTTAACGTTATACCACAAAAGTTCACCTGTTCCAGACCAGAACCAAGTTTCGATCTTTCAATTTTCATTTTATTCTCCTCTTAGTGCCCCCCCCCCCCCGACACCACCCTACGGATTCCGTAGTTTTTCCGTTTGTTTTGCAAACGCGTTCATTTTGTTTTGATTTTAAACATTTTAGATAAATAAGCAACATCATTGTGATCGTGATCGCTTAACATATAAATATACAAATACTATTTATTTTTTATCATTATTATTATTATTAATATTAATATTAATATTACTATTCCTTCATACGAATTAAAAATTAAGTAAGTTTCTATGCTAATATAACCTAAAATATCTTTACCTTTACATCCTACTATATGTTTATTATAAAAGGGACGCAAGCATCTGATTGCCATATCTATCACCATTATATACTGTTATCGTTATACAAGATAATATTTGAATTTATTTTTATTTTTTTTTTAACAAAATTTTATTTTTACAAATTTATAACAATGTCTGATAGTAACGATAAAGGTAAAAATATAATAGAAAAACTTAAAAATATTTTCATCAAACAAAAAAGTAATAAAAGATATGAAGCTCGGCATTGAATGAATTTATTTGATGACTTTCTAAAAAAATTTTTTCCATAAATTCACAGAGCAAGTTTCGTATGCTAAGGAAACAACCTCTTTAGAAGAAATTGAAGGTACTTCCTTCCATGTATTATTAACCATATTTAATGTTATAATAATTCGTTAATTTTATTTACTAAAAATTAAATTTATCAAATTTAACATAGAACCAGCTTTAAGTGACGAAGGTAAATAAATCAATACTACGAAAATTGTAATGTAAACTAACCTTAAATGATGAAATTAAATATAATAATTATATACTGTAATTCGTTAATTATATTAATTAAAGTATTATAATTTCTTAATTTTATTCAAAATATTCAAAGTATTATTAGATGGTAAGAATATTTATAATATTATCTTAATACTAGTTGTTTGGACTATATATATAATTATAATCTTAGTAATTAATTTCAAAATTTTTCGAAATCAAATATATTATGATAGATCCTGATGCTCCTACGTTAAATGAATTAAAAGGTAATGAATAATTATCTATTTGTTAAGTCAAACAATATTTTAAATATTTATTTCTTTTTTTTTAAAAAAAATAAATTTAATAATCATTGAAACTTAGATTGTAAGCCATTTAATTTTTATATATTTTATCTTATGAAATTAAAATTTTTTAATTAATATTATCTATTGATCAATACCATAGGGAGTAAGAGAATTTTTAATTTTTCACATAAAAAATTAAACAACTAATTTATTTTAAAATTTTTTTAATTGCATTTTAGTTAGTAAGTTATTTTTATCTATTATATATATTGTATATTTGATTATAATTTATAAAAATTTAAATTTTACTTATTTTACTTAAAATATTATAGGTCGTAAGTTTATTAATTAAATTAACTATAATTTTATTTTATTTTAAATAATAATATTAATTATTATAAATTATAGAAAGTAATTATTTTTATATACTTTATATTATAATGTAATTTAAACTCAACTATAAAAAACAATTAATAATTAATTATACAATATAATACAATAGATTGTAAGTTATTTTTATTGATTATTAGTATTTAATTCTACTTTTTACTATAATTTAAACTCAACTATATTTTTTATTTAAAAAAACAATTAATCTTTTAGCTTGTAAGTTATTTTTATTGATTATTAGTATTTAATTCTACTTTTTACTGTAATTTAAACTCAACTATATTTTTTATTTAAAATATTACTAAAAGGGGGTAAGTTATTTTTTTTGATTATCAGTATTTAATTCTACTTTTTATTGTAATTTGAATTCAACTAAATTTTTTATTTAAAAAAACAATTAATAATTAATAATACAATAGATTGTAAGTTATTTTTATTGATTATCAATATTTAATTCTATTTTTTACTGTAATTTAAACTTAACTATATTTTTTATTTAAAAAAACAATTAATCTTTTAGCTTGTAAGTTATTTTTATTGATTATCAGTATTTAATTTTACTTTTACTGTAATTTAAACTCAACTATATTTTTTATTTTAAAAAACAATTAATCTTTTAGTTTGTAAGTTATTTTTATTGATCATCAGTATTTAATTCTACTTTTTACTGTAATTTAAACTCAACTATATTTTTTATTTAAAAAAACAATTAATCTTTTAGCTTGTAAGTTATTTTATTGATTATCAGTATTTAATTCTACTTTTTACTGTAATTTAAACTCAACTATATTTTTTATTTAAAAAAACAATTAATAATTAATAATATAATAGTTCGTAAGTTATTTTTATTGATTATCAATATTTAATTTATTTTAATGTAATATAATTTTAATATTTAAAAAATTATATTAAATTTATAAAATATAATAAATCTATTAAATTTAGTAAGTAATTTACTTTATTTAAAATTAAAATAAAAATTATTATAAAAATACTAATTATTTTTTAATAATTATATATAGAATAAAAGGTAAATGCTTAAATTGTAATAAAAAAGATACTGGATATAAATGGTGTAAAGAATATAATTCTAAATTATTTCAACATCATTTCTCTAATTGGACTAGTAGAAATAAATTTATTGATAAATTTATTCAAGATATTCAACTGAATGCTTTAAATAAAAAACAAATATTAGAATAGATTCCTTATAATAAATTAGAAGATATTGAATATCTTGATAAAGGAGGATTTAGTACTATTTATAAAGCTATATGGTTAGATGAATATATTGAATCTTATTCATATAATAATAAAAATTGGATTAGAAGTAATAAAATAGAAGTATCTCTTAAAAGTCTAAATAAATCTTCAAATTTAAATGAAAAATTTTTAGATGAAGTATGTAATTATTAATTATATTTAATTTTAAATAATAAATTTTAAATAAATTTTAATTATTTTAGTGGAAATATCATTATAAATATTATAGTCAATTAAATAAATATTCAGATCAAAATCTTATTCTATTATATGGATTTACTCAAGATCCAACTACATTAAATTATATGATAATGATACAATATGCAAAAAATAGTAATTTAAGAAATAATTTATTAGATATAATTAAGAATAGATGGATTATTAAATTAAAAAAGTTACTTAATATTATTAGTGGACTTGATGAAATACATCAAAAAAAATTTATACATTGTGATTTTCATCGTGGAAATATTTTAAATTTGAGAAATAATATTTTATTTATTAGTGATCTAAGATTATGTAAACCTGTAGAATATTTTCAATCATCTAAAAATAATTAATAGTTATTCAGCACGAAGTGCCGAATAACTATTATATTAGGAAAATCAAATTTTGTTGGTTGATTTGGGCTCCGCAGGAGTCCTGAATCACAAATCAAATTTGATTCCCAATATTCTTAGCTACCTTGTAGGTAGCGGTAGTTATTCAGCTCGAAGTGCCAGATAAGTGATTTATCCGGTTTCCCGTTATTAACGTGCGATTTTGGTAGATCGCTACAGTTAAACGAGATGTTCGAGAGTTGTTTCTTTTTAATATACGTAGTAATTACTGATCTTTCCTGGAGTCCCTGACTTATAACTTGTATC